CTCCCCGCCGCGGGAGCAGCCGCGCCGCCCGCCCGCGCCGTTGGGCTCCTGGTCGGTGCCTTCGCGCTGCAATTAATGCTGTGCTTATAGCTTGCGTTTTAAGTAATTGCCGGGCTTTTTTTTTAAATTGCCGCTTAATTCATCCCTTAACCAACTGATTACATGCCTGCTTAATTAATTAATCTTATTGGCGTAGACGTTGCTGATCTTTGCACAGTTGTTAGGTGCTGTGGTTTACACAAACTGTGACTGTTTCCATGAGAATTTAATATTTTAACTGCCGATTTTGTAGTTGGGGTTTTTTTAATTACAACTAATTAATGCTCAGGTCTGGTATTCGCTACTCTCTTTCGTGTGCACAGTGTCTAATTGAGATTTTTTTTCCAGCTGCATCTGTGGCACTGCCTTCCTGTACCTGGAGGTACTGGTCGCTCTTTTCAGTTCCCCAAGTTTGCTGTTACGTCCATCTCTGTTTGCATTCTTTGGTCTTTTAGTTTCTACAAGATGTCATAGCCCCTGCTGTCATTTTCTGCCATAAACCTGAACTTAAAGTTCTTGCAGAAACCTATGACTACTTTTTTTTGTTGTTACTGGTTTTGGGGTATTATTGGGGGTTTTGGTGATTTTTTTTTTTTTTTTAATGGAGTTTGATGCAAACACTCTTAGTAATTCACCGGGTTTACAGAAGAGTTGCGGATCTCACGCCATCTTAGATTCGTACCTGACATCCTCTGGGCTTAACCTGTTCTTGTCCCTGTTGGAAATGCAGAGGAAACAGAGGTGATAGTAACCATCTTTTAGCCTGTTTCCCTCTTTGTTACTCCCTGTGGTCTTATTTCCCTACCTGTTTGTCATAGTACTAAGGTCTGGGTTGTTTTTTTGTTAAAAAAAAATTAATTTTCTAATCGAGAAGAAAAAGTCTAGAGTGTTTATAGGACATGTGTTACTTTATTCTGATTTTGAGTAGGCAGTTTGAACAGGATGAGGGGGAAGGGCAGTACTTGTTAAAATTCTGTTTTATGCCAAAACCAAAAACGTAAATTAAAAATTGCTATCCATTTGTTTGGCCACACAAGGTGTACATAGACATGATGTTATATTCTGCTGCCACATCAGAAAATAAAATATTGACTGGTGTTTGTTAGTAGTCTAAAACAAACACGAAAGAAACAATATTGTTCTTACAACGTATGCTTTAATTTGTGATATTCCATAAATAACCTGTTACATTAATTTTTTTCTTACTACTAGCCTACAGTGAGCAGAATACAAGGGTTTTATTATAAAACCTCCTTTTTGCTCAGTTTGAATCATCTTTCTCATAACTGTGACTACACTTACCTGAAGAAGTGCTAGAAATATACTGGATAAACTGTGATAATCAGTGAATCAGTTTACTTTAATTGAGCGATGTCAGTACATTAATATATTTTTTTCACAGTTTGGATGGTCTGACGTGAATTCTGCCATAATATAGGTTGTAAGAGTTGCGTGCTTTCATTAAAACAAAACCAAGAAACCCTTTTAAATCAAAGGTTTTGTTTTCCCTTTTAGGTACGACAGCCTCCTGAAATTAATTTAGTTCTGCGTCCTCGGGGATTGACTGGTGATAATGAAGTATATACCAAAGTTGATCTGTGGGTCAAGTGTCCACATACTTACCCTGATACGTGAGTGAACATTAAGATACAACCTTTTTTCTGTGTTTTCCATAGCAAAGTTTAAGTTGAAAAAAACATCTAAGTTTTATTCACCGCTCTTATTCTTGTTTTCTGCATGTCAGGATTTCTTAGGCCTGTGGTATTTTATAAGAGGCGACTATAAAATTTGGCACCTGAGTTGGATCTGGCCTCTTGGGCAATGGAGAATGATAGGGATGCGTTTGTTAGTGCTAGACTGCAGCTCCAGTTTGTAGCTTGAAGAGGCATAAATATAGGTGTACCTACTAGCATCTTCGTGCCCTTTTTAAGCTTTTTCAGCTCGTGACCTGCTGAGAGAGGGAGTGAATACTCATTTTTAAAGCAATCTGCTGTTGTAGTTGTATCTGCTGGGTTAGCCTTTTGGAAGTGTTCTCTGTAGACAATGGAAGGAGAATTGCAGGTGACCACCCCCTCCAGCATTTTGGGTTAGCAAGTAGTTTCTGGGTGAAGTGTTGCTCTGTGAGCACAGTTTTGTTCAGCCCTTGTGTCACCAGTTGAGTCCACAGCGTAACTCCACTTAGTTCATCTGTTTGTGCTGCAGCCTGAGCAGTGTACAAGGGAAGCGCTATTCCTTACCAAGTGATAGCTCAGTTACACCCTGTAGCATGGGACGTAAGAGCCACTCTATTTTTCTTTTTTTAATTTAAGATAGTATGGCTACAAATGTTTTACTTGTTTACTTTATTATATTTTTTTAATTTAGCTGTTACTTATTTATTGCACATGTTTCTTTAAGTTTGTGTAACCTGTATAGAGGTGATAAATTTTAAACACCGAAATGTTATGCTAGTGATATTTTTAAGGGACTGTTGCGGGAATTAGTGATTAAGAGCTGAATTATAAGAGTCTGCAGGGTTTCTTTGGTAGGTCTTATGTTAAGTATAAGTGACAGATAATCTGCAGCCAGAAAATTTAATGGCAGGGAATATAAAACAGTATTTCTGGCTTTATATATGTAATATTTATGTGCTGCATATTTGAGCATTGACTAATTGCCAAGTGACTATGAACTCCATTCCTTTTCCCTCGCCCACCATTTTTTATCAACATTCTGTGTCTTACACAATTGCTTTTTGCATTCAGTTTTTCTCATGAGGACTTTTGTGTTTTGTTATGGTCCCACAGTGTACCTGAAATACAACTAAAAAATTCAAAAGGCTTGTCAAATGAGAAAATAAAAGAATTAAAATCCAGACTAGCTGAACTGGCAAAACAGTGCTGTGGAGAGGTAAGAGCTTTTCACTTCCTTGAGAAATATTCTCTGGACCTAAATAGTTCTAAAAAAATGTGTGGTATAATATAAAGAAAAGCATTGGAAGTATAAGTTGCATTACTCCTAAGTAAGGAGACACTTGCATTTTTTCTTCAGAATGTTTCTAATTAATGAAAGTTTGGAATATGCACGCTCTTAAAATGCAGTGCACATGTAAATAATGCAAGCTTTGTCCCTCTTTAAAGACAGATTTAAAGGTTCATGCTATTCTTGGAGTTACTTCACAGTCTAAGGGCAATACCAACTCTGAAACTGAGAGCTTTCTGCACTTTTCAGATTAATTTAAATATTGTAAGTGGCTATATCTGTTTAAGCAAACAGCGATTACCTGGGTTGTTTTTCAGTGTGGTGATGTTCATCTAATGCTGAACTGAAGGGCGACAGAGCTTAGTTATAACACCAGCTCCATCACTCCGTGCCATTATGCCTTTTTTTTTCTACTGTGTTTAGGAATAGTGATACTTGGCTTGTTCCTGAATAGGATAAAGAGAGCAATATGGACAAATACATGAAGCTTAGAACTTGTATTTATTTTAAGGCGTTTTGTAAGTCCCTGGGTATGTTTGGTATTAACAATACCTTTCCATTGTTGCTGAGGACTGAAATGATTCAAAGAATTACGAGAATACATTGAATTCTTGGCAAAAGCAGCATTTATGGTATGTTTCTTATCGCTGTCTGGAAGTGTTACAGGTGAACACACTCAGTTTGCTCAGTCTGCCTTTTAAAAAGTGAGAAATACACAGCTGTGGGAGTTACTATATGCTGAAATGGGAGAATATTGTTTTCTGTTTCCTAAGCCTGTTAACTTTACAGGTTTGGCAGGGGTTGCCCATCATTTAGTCTTGCCACATGAAGCCCTTTTTCCATTTGCATACTGTACTTCTATTTTGATGGCCAATTTTTATGGAGGTACTTTCAAAAGAACTGTTTCAGCCAGATACTGTTTTGTTCATTCTGTTGAATAACCCAAGAGTTCCCTTAAATTTTTCAGTGTATTTGGAAATTAGCAGCTAACAGTGTATTCTGGATTTTTTTTTTCTTTTTTGTAGTGACTGTGCTATGGATAATTGATAGGAAATACAAGGTTCAATTTCTCTAACCGCTAAACCATGCGATACATACACAATCTGTTCCCAACTCACCCCAGGAGAGCTATTAGCCTGTAGAACTTTAAATCCTAGTTTGTTTCCTGATCTTATTGAAAAGAGCTACAAACTTGTTATAGGTTTTCCTAATGTTAGTTTCGTAAAGGGAGAATCATGCTTGCTCCAGGGATGTGTAGATACATTTGAGAGTTAAATATATGATACGTGTTTTTGATGAATGACAGGCACAATGCTGTCCTGAGTTACTTTCTCTGCAGTGAAAGGGAGATACCTGTGAAGGCAAAGAGAACAGTTATTCTTTATTAAAATGTATTCTGCAGTATGGAAAATTTGAAGATGCCCCAGTTACCTGTCAAACTGAACAGCAGATGGTTTGTGGTTTTTTAGTTATTGAGATTCCCTCTTTCCTTTTCTTATACATGTATGTGCATGCATGATTGCCTTGCCTTCTGAATAGTAACCTAGAGAAGGTATTTTAGTTTGCACATGGCAGATATGTGCATATTGTGCTATTTCTCTTCTGAACTGCCTGCTGTTTTCATTCTTACTTTCAAGCAGGGGATTCAGTGTTGCAGAATCTTCTAAATGTCAGCCCGTTACAGGCAGATGGTACAATTTAGTTTGGCCCTGCTCCCACCTATATGTGCAAATCCAGCTCAGTACTGCTGCTGAGATCCATTTTTCTGATGTACTGTTCTTTAATTCTGGAGATACGATGGTCTGTTAGCACTACAGATTGCTTGGATTAGTAAAGGGATGCATACTAGACTGATAAAAGCTTAAGCTCTGACAGGTCAATAGATCATCAGTATGTGGCCAGTTCAAGTATGAAAATTGCTCCTAACCTTGCACACCACGTAGCAGAATTCAGCTGCTTTTTCAGTGCAGTTCTTGTGTTGGTAGCTGTGGTTACAGAAATGTGAAATGCCTTAAGTAGCTTTACAGTTCTAGCTGGGGGGATCTAGTTTGCAGAGGAAAGATTGGATTACATGTTAGCAGTGGAAAAACTTATTTAATAGCAGCAGATACAGTAATAGACAATTGCAAAGGATTTATTCTGTTGTAGCGTTCCAGTGCTCCGTCACCCTCAGAGGGAAGAAGTTCTTCCTCATGTTCAGACGGAACTTCCTGTGCCTCAGTTTGTGCCCATTGCCCCTTGTCCTGTCACTGGGCACCACTGAAAAGAGCTTGGCCCCATCCTCCTGACACCCACCCTTCAGATATTTGTAGGCATAAACACATATCTTTGAGAACAGAAAAACATGCCTAAAAGATGATAAAGAAAGGAATTCTTGAATTTTTTTAGAAAAATGATGCTTGAAGTTGGCTGTCTTTCAGTAATTTTTGCCATCTTTGCTAGTAGTAGTTAGGGATTTTTCATGTTATGGTTTATTAATAAATAGTTCTGATGAAAAATACTGAAATCGGTAAATTCTTCCTGATAAGTAAAAGAATAAGCAGTTGTTCTGCTGCTGTATTGCTTTTTCGAGTTGGGTATCATTTTACTATGTGATCTACTTGTTCTTTGAACTCTCCATGTCATGCATGTTTACTTTCTTTCAGGTGATGATATTTGAACTTGCCGACCATGTACAGTCATTTCTCAGTGAGTATAATAAACCGCCTTCCAAGTCTTTTCATGAAGAAATGCTAAAAAATCATCAAAAAGAACAAGAAAGACTGGCTCAGGAGGAATTGCGTAGGGCACAAGAAGTTAAGAGAAGAGAGGAGCAGGAGGTAAGAGAAATTAAAGTGTGAATAACTCCATATTCTTAAAACAACATAAACAATCATGATTCTGTAAATCATCCTGAACAGTGGTGGGCTTTAGTGAATTATTAACTTGTCAGACCTGTCAGTATGAGTCAATCAAAATGTACCATTTGAACTATCTGCTGCTGCAGTTGTAATATTTTAATTATGTATTTTTAACCCTGAGAAATATTTATGCCTGAAACGAACCTAAGTGTTGATTTTTGGTCCTATGAAAATCACTTATAAAGAGGACCTTACACGAAAGTGTAAGCAAATGTGTATATTAAGTGCATTCCGTCATAAATGAGGAAGTATTAGCCAGACAGGTAATCATACTTTCCTTCACCCATAGGGTGACTGGAATGTTCACTATGACAGATTTCCCTGGAGCACAAGAAATTTAATCGAAAGAGACCACATACATTCTTCACTAGAAATGAGGGGATTCATCTGAAGTCTCACAGAGACTGGTGGTGTGGAGTCTCCACACTGTGGGAATATGGCTAGAATAGCTCTGTGTTTTAAAGAATGTTTTAGCTTATTCCTCTGTCTTTTCTGTGTGTGAAACTTCGTTGTTGGGTCTGTCAGGAGAAGTAATTTTCTTTTGTCTATGATGCTGTTCTCCTATATCATACAATTGATGCTGTTAACTTCCTCAGGAGAGCTAATTTAACTTGTGTTTTGTTTTATTCTTGTGAGATCCACAGGTCCTCTCTAACACTTTTGAAAAATCAGCATCATAGCCTTTTTTTTTTAGCGAGGGTAAGATTAGCAGTTGCACTACATGTACTGTTGCATCTCTAACAACACCAAAAATTCATTTCAGCAACGTGAAATCCTTAACGAGATTCAGAGAAGGGAGGAAGAGAAAAGAGAAGAAAGAAAGAAGAAAGAGATTGCTAAACAGGTATTATTTCTAAGCAGGCTTGCAAAAACCATTGCAATAACTACTTCCCAGTACTGTAGCATACACTTATAAAGATTTGAGAGATTTAGATGACTTAATTGTCCTGGGCATCTTTTCTCATCCAGTGCTGCTAATAGATCTAGGTTATAATAGGTTCTTGATTATATGGGTTTTATTTTTGGAGTAAAATCAACTGTAAGAGAAAATAGTTTAACATATTAGTATCTTAAGTGTACTAAGATGGGTATTTTCAGACATAGAAAAAAGCCAGTAAGTTAACGTTTCCCGTTTCATTGTAAATAATCTTTACATTCTTGCCCGTGGGCAGTGCTGAAAGGTACTTTCGGAATCATAGCACTTCCTCAGCCTCATGTAGATTTATTATGAATATCTGTTTCTTCTGTGATGTGGATGACTTCATAGAATAATAGTTAAGTGCTTGTGTATTTTGAGGGTAGGAGCAGTTTCTGAACTTACTTGGTGGTTTTCCTGATTTATAGGGACGTTTGGAAGTAGCTGCTCTGACAAGTCAAGAAAACTCTCACAGGAAAGATACTGCAGGGTACAGAGTTGGTTCTGGTTTAAATGGGAGCTGTTTGGAACATGGAGTGAATAATAAATACCGACCAAATTCAGCTGGACGTTCAAAGTAAGTATGTCAGTTTGCGTGTGGATTTTTTTATTTTTTTGCAAACATTAGATTTCAAAGTGAAATTTGAAGGCAGTAACGTGCCTTGTTGCTCAGCTGTTCGTTTTTTGTTTTTTTTTTGTGTGTGTGTGTCCAATTCCTCCCCCTCTTCATTTGGCATAGTTTAATTCATGTGCTATGGATAACTTGGGAACTTTTCCATTAAGAGAGTCAGCTTGGCCCTTAGTTTAACTTAGAAAGTATTTGTCAGTCATTGGAAGGTATATTCAGGGCTTACTTAGTTTCTTAAAACCGTGCAATATGTTGACAATTGCATAAAAAATTTATCTTAAATCAGCCGATGAAAGTTTTGGAATAGCACTATAAAGCTTATATTATATTCAAAACATTTTCTGTGAAGATACACCAGTTCTCCAACTCCCTGTTGGAGAATCAGATAATTCTGATTGTATTTGCAGAGCAACTTACTAGAGGGAAGATTAGAGTTACTGGAGGATTCTTTTGCTGGTACGTAACTCATCTAGGTTAGGATTGATGGTGATATAGGTAGGTTGGGTGCTGGGTTTTTTGCTTGGTGGGGTTTTTTTACCTCTTTCCTGTGTTCATAGCTGATATAACTGTTAAGGACAGTGGGGTTATCCTGGTATTATTTTTCCTAGTTTTCCTTCAGATTGTGCCAATGACTTGTTATTTGGACTGTTGTTTTAACTGACGTAGTGTATTACTGTTGGTTTTTTTTTTTCTCTATAGACTTCAAAATTGTTTTCAAATGATTTATCAGCAACACTAGGTAGCTGTAGCAGCAGTTCTTCGATCTATCCTACTTTGACTCTTGCTGCCATCTCTTCCCTTTGCCTATCCCAAGTCATATATGACAGCTGTTTCTGTATAGTGTTTGGTAGTCCGTAAAGCTCTCTTCTTATCTTCTTGCTAATCAAAATAAAACAAGACGCTTTCTGTGCTTGTGGAACAAGAGAAGTGTCTCAGAAGTTTTGTTACTATGCTTTAATGCAGAACATGTACAATGGACTTATATTAACTTTCCACACAAACTCTTACATTGTATGTTCTTTTTTAAAAAAACCAAAATAAAACCAAAAAGGCAGTTACTTATTTTAACAATGGTAAAAATAATCAAAAAGGATTTTGAAATGTTGAAACCCCCTATGATGCCGTGTTTGTAGAGTTAAGCAAAAGCTAGACACATTTAGTTTTCTGAGGTCTCTTTTCACAAAAGGAGTGTTGCTGTATTTTTATCTTTTTATGAACCGTGAAATTTTGGCTATTGAGACACAAACTTTCAGAAGATTATTAAAATCTAAAATAATTTCATTTATAAAATATATTTGAATTCAGAAAGCTACTTACTTTCTTTGTATATTTTTCTTTATACAGCACTTGTAAGAAGTTCCCTGTGGCATCTCCTTTCTATGTAGCACTTCTTACCTTTTTTTTTTCTTTTTTTTTTTTGTAAATCTCTCTGCTGAAGGAGCTTCTACATTACACTTCATATACTCCTGTGATCTCTATACGTGATTGCATTTATTTGGAGGATACTTTTGCAGTGGTGATATTTCTGTTAATTTTGAAACAGATTGTACCAAGAAGTTATGAAGGTTGATTTGGTTTGGTTGTCTTGAGTTCATTCTGATCTCATGTGCAGCTCTGTACATGCATGTGAGACGAAACACCCTAATCATACTTGCTTTGAAAGGTTTTGCAAAACTTCCCTTTCCTTGAAGGAGGAGTTTAGAGAAGTAAAGGAGGCAAACGGGAAATCCATTTTAAGTTAGGAAAAAGAATTAAGCTAAAGCTGGAATGAACTTCCAAAATTGCATACATTTGCTTTTTGTAGTATTTTGAAAGAGAACGCAAATCAAGTCAAACTTACATATTTTTCAGAGCTGTAGTATGTTTCCTTTTTTTTTTTTTTAATACCCACCTGCTGAAAGCATCATCCCAAGATGATGAGGTTTTCAGGGTTGGGTTCAACTCCTGACTTTGAATACAGAGACCCAGTGCAGCATGGTGTTACTACTGAAATGCTGGATTTCTAATCAGACATATATATTTGCACTAACTTAGTACCTTTGAAATTAATGGATATTATCGTTGGATGCAGAAGTCTCTGGAAGCTAATCCTCTTGCAGAATTGATATCTTTAGGGATTAGGGACTGCAACAATACAATCTTTTTGAGTTGGGCAGAAAATGTTCTGTTCGTATTGCAGACAAGAACGCCAGCTTTCTGTTAGTAATAATGAAGAGTCCCCTGGAAATCACGAAGTTTTGAACTTCAGCACAAGTGGTGCTGGACAACTTACTGTCCATAAAGGAAAATGTCTAGGTAAGCAAAATTACAAGTGCAGCTTGAAATGCTGGGGTTTGGGATGGGTTTTATTTGAGAGGGAGGAACTAATTGTTGTGGACCATGAAATGTCACAGTTAAGAGTGGGAGAGAGTAATAAGAAAAGTTACTTTGTGGTAAATATTTTACATTTTCTTAGGAATATTTTAAGTAAAAATTTGCTTCTCCAGATACAATTACATAACTGAATAGCCATACCAACCCCCGAACCTTCTCAACATTTTATGTTCTCTACGTAACTGAAATAATACTGAAAACTGTTTGCGTTTAAATTTAAATAGCTAGCTTGTCAAATACACATTATTACCAAGCAAGAAGTTACTTAGCTTGCAGTAACATGTGAAACCAGTGATAAGCATAGGGTTAGAAATATATACTTACTCTTCTTCCATTGCTGCTGATAGCAATGGCATAGAAGCAGCAGTTTTAGCAAAAAAGATAAACACAGGCAATGATAGGAGACTTTCAGAGTTGAAGGGCCTCCATGAAGTGCCCATGTGAATGGACTATCAAATGTTTTCATTGTTGATTGTCAGCATAGCACTTCCTCAGTGGCAGGATGAACAGCCTGAAAGACTTGGAGCAAAGAGAATTTTATTATTTTGCAGTTTGAGGATGAACAATTATATTACTGTGTGTAGAGTTTGGCATTTGGTCAACAGGAAGAGTATTTGTTTATTAAAATCTGAAATTGTTTAAAATGTGCAGCAATTTTTTGCCAATGTGCTAATTGCTATTGCCAGTTTGCAATTTGCCAATTGCTTTCATTTGACTACTGCTACGTAGTGTTCAGTCTCATCAGACCTGGCATTTTCCATACCTACCATGTAGGTATGGATCTTGTTTAGTTGTAAGTAGGTTTGTTTCTGCAATTGTAGAAAGCAGGCTTACTGGTCTTAATTAGCATTTGCAGGAGCTCTTGTCAAGTCCTTAGAACCAAAAGAAGCAATGTTTCTTCTTCTCTTTATCTGTAGGCAAGGATGAACAGCTTGGTAAATCAGTCTATAATGCCTTGGAAATCCACAGTGGAGACTTTGTTTTAGTATATGAGTGGGTTCTGCACTGGCAAAAGAAGATGGGAAAGTTTCTTACATCACAGGAAATAGAAAAGATTGAGAAGTGTAAGAAACAGGTAATGCCTATGTTTTGCATTTGGCTTAATAAAGGTTTGATGGGGTTTAGTGCTTTTCTTGAGTCTTCTAGTGTAATATAAACTTGAAAGTGTGGTGATGAGCTTGAAAACGCTGATGTATAGAGTATCTGCAGCACAGAAGATGGGTGCATTGCCATATTCAGGAGTTCATTTACAGTAATATATATGCAAGAAAATGTATTTGTAGGTATGCATAAATAAATACGGAAATTCTGCAGAAAGATGGAATCAAGCTTACCTGGCAGAAACCAAAGGTGTTCTTGCCCTTTGTGTACAATACTTCCTTTTCAGAAAAGCATGACAATGTCATATCTTTTATGTGTTTTGTATGTTACGTATTTTAGTAGTGTTCATGAGCTATGCACAATGCATGTTATGTTGTGTTTCTCAACAGCTTCAGGGTGCAGAAACAGAGTTCAGCTCACTGACGAAGCTAAGTCACCCAAACATAGTACATTATAAATGTATGAACCTGAAAGAACGGAACGATTCAATTGTGGTGGACATTGTAGTGGAGCATATAAGTGGTTGCAGCCTTTCTACATACTTACACAAAGAGACTTCAGTTCCACTTGAGCAGCTGCGCCATTATGTGACCCAGATCTTGTCAGCTCTTGACTACTTGCACAGTAATTCGGTAGTGCACAAAGTTCTTTGTTCTTCCAGTATCCTGGTAGATGTTGAAGGAAACATCAAGGTGACAGACTACAGCATTTCCAAGCGCTTAGCTGATATCTGCAAAGCAGATGTTTTTGAGCAAACCAAAGTTCGTTTTAGTGAAGATGGTCTTCCCAGCAAACCTGGAAAAAAAGGAGATGTGTGGAGTCTGGGCTTGCTTCTGCTTTCACTCAGCCAGGGCCAAGTAACCAAGGAATATCCAGTTGCTGTTCCTGCCAATTTACCTGCTGACTTCCAAGACTTTCTGGAAAAGTATGTTTATTGCATTCCTGTATCTTTTTGTGGTTTTTTGTTTGTTTGTTTTGTTTTTGAAAGACTTGAAGTTTTTTGAAAGAACATCTAAATCCCCATGTGTCACTAGCCATAGTTTTTAGAGAAGAGGCGATTGCTCACTCATGGCTCAGGCTGCTAATCCGGGATTCGGGAGAATGGGTCTGGTGCTCTGTTCTCCTTTGCCCTGCCACCAACTTCGTGTGTCACTGTGGATATGTCATTTGGTCTGTCTTTGCTTCTGATTCCCATCTGAATGATAAAGGTGATAGTTTCTTAAACATAAGGAGACCTTTCTGAACACTTAGGCCTGATATGGAATAGATGTTTGAACAGTTCTCTTCTTGGTTTGCTAACAGATGTGTTTGTTTGGAAGATAAGGAAAGATGGACTCCTCAGCAGTTATTACAACATAGTTTTATAAACATTCCACGAATGAAAATACCTGTAGCTGAAGAAAATCTAGATGGTAAGAAAGTTGGTTCTTTCTGAATTCTGCTGAATAAATGCACTGCATGCCTGTAGTGACAGAAAAATTGAGCAGTGCTAGAGCTTCACAAGACTGCACAAGAGGTTCACATTAACTAACCTAGAAGTTAAAGACCATACTAGGTTTTATGTGCCTGACTAGCTGGGGTAGACTGACTGCCGTTGTCTCATCAATAGGAGAAGCTGATGTTTTAATTCAGCCTGTAAATTTATACACCTCCTGCATGCTATGAGTGTCAGACTTAACTTTGTTCTTCCAAAATGCTGTGCTACTGAGACTTCTTCCCTCGTTATGTTCTTGTTGTTATGTTCTTCTTAGGATCAGTTCCTTTGTCCATCATAATTAATGTTAGTAATTAAAAATTGTATTAAGGTTTATGCTTGTACCAGAGCTTGACTCTATACTGTATTATGTATTATAGGTTTTAGTTGCACTTGCAGTTATTTAGGTTTTATCTTCTTCCTGGTGCATATTTGGCAGTCTCTTGTGCCTTATGCTTGTGCCCCCATACTTCCAGTGGTGGTGATTTTGATGTCCTTGTTACAGATTCAGCAGGTATAGATTGCATCGAGACAGTTGTACCCAGCAGTCAGGTATCCAGCTCCTCATTCTTCACAGAAACACAGAGACAATTTTCACGCTACTACAATGAGTTTGAAGAGCTAAAATTACTTGGCAAAGGGGCTTTTGGAGCAGTCATCAAGGTATGGTATAAAAATCATTTCCCTCTGTGGAATCCTTTTTAGGTATATGTTTGTCTTCTCTGAAGCAAAACAATGTATTCAATGTTTGCATTGTTTTATTTATTGTTTTCTAGCGTGCTGTGCCCATCTTGTGATTTTTATCTGGAATTGAATAGGCCAGTAAGTGTGTGAGGGATTGCTGGGAGTCTGGGAAGAAGCCTGTCAGTATGGGGAAGCTTGCATTTGAATTGTAGTCATTTCCCAGGTGGAAGGAAAACTTCCTCTTCCATGAAATCATTCTACTTCTGGCTCTACTTGGTAAGGCACTTATAAGCATTTGACTATAGATTTATTTGAATTTTGCAGGTGAGAAATAAGCTTGATGGTTGCTATTATGCCGTGAAACGTATCCGCATAAACCCTGCCAGCAAGCAATTTCGGAGGATTAAGGGGGAAGTAACATTACTTTCCCGACTGAACCATGAGAATATTGTGAGATATTACAATGCTTGGATCGAAAAACACGAAAGTCCTGTTCCCACGGTAACAACCGACGAGAAAAGAATGCCCACCAAAGCTGGTCTCTTCGTCCTTACCACTGAGGAGACAAATGATGTGGAAGCTAATGCTCCTCCTCCAGTTTTGACAAGTTCAGTTGAGTGGAGTACTTCATGTGAAAGATCCTCCAGCAACAAATTCAGTGGAGCTGATCAGGAGTCCAGCGATGACGATGATGACGATGGTGATGGGGTGTTCTCACATTCATTTTTGTAAGTAGGCTTCAGTCTTGGCACTGTAGGGAACATGAACAGAGTTGTTTTTTCCAAGTTTGTGTCTTTTATCATTCTCACTTCTTTTCTCAGAGTTAATTCACTGCATTTCCATTCTGTCCCCTCGTTCAGTAACAGCATATTTGCCATCAGTCAGATAGCCAGGGCGAGGAAAATTTGTAACTAAAAACTCAGTGTACGAGGAAGATTTTGGGTTAGGCTTCTTACAACTTGCGTCAGAACATGTGACTGTTTATATTGGACTGTCTTTTCAAACCTTGAGAGTAAAGGTTTTAGTAAACAACAGAGAAATATTAAAAATCCTGAAAAATACCTTACTTGTCCTTTCTTTTTTGTTTTGATTTTTATTAACATAATCCGTACCTGCCTCTGTGTATGGAGTGGTTCTTTCACTCATGGTGGTTTTTTGTTTAAGCAAGAAAGTAAACTTATTTCAGTTTTGCTTATTGAATATAGAAATAAAATTTTACTGATGCAAATATATACCTTCCCTTTAAGAGGCTGGACTGTCAAAGGAAGTGTTGCTTTCAAGCAGGATACTTTTTGGGGGCTTGGTTTGTTCTGCTTTTTTGTTTAAGGCATGTGGAAGGTCTTCAGCAGAAGCTTGGATTTTCTTTGTCTCCACAAATAGTTTCAAGATTTCTTACTAAATATTTCTTGGTAATACTTATTTAAGGAAAATGAAAACTTCAAGTTCTTTTTCTTTCTCTGCTTTAAACAGGCCAACCACAGATTCTGAAAGTGAAATAATTTTTGATAATGAGGATGAAAACAGTAAAGGTCATCCTCTGGTAAGTATAAAGATAAAGCTAGTGAGAATGAAAAGATCACAAAATAGCCTTTGACAAATAAACAGGTCAGTTGGAAAGTTTTGTTTCACTTCTTGTCTAAGTACAAAACCATAGAAGGTTATGTTCCATCAGGGTAAATGTTGTGCCATCATGAGCTGCATTCCATAGAAATCAGTCTGATGCAGCTAATCTGGAGTCTGTTTCCCATAGCGTTCCTGGAGCTAGAGGTGAGTTGCACTGTACGGTAATGAGGCTGGTTATCGCAAGTTTAACACGTCGGTATGTGCGTGATTTTATCAGTTAACTGTATGGATTGCCTTGCATCATCTGAAAGTTGAAATTCTGTTCTGCTTTTAGATTATATAAACCAATATATTTGCTCATACTAGCTGCTTTTTGAAAGTGGTGACAATGCATGTTGCTAGCAGTCAAAAAAGAGATGGGAAGTCAGAATAACGTGTAAGGTTTTAGCTGATTCCAAGATTTTGTATCACAGCACTTGATGGGAACAGTCAATGCACTGTATCACTAGAAAGCTAATGCACAGCTTTCCACAGCATCTGGAATCTGTGGTTACCGATCATCATGATCTGTAAAATACTCTTATTAAAGCTTTATCGTCTTTCTCTTTCTGTTGTAATGTGCATTGGCACGAAAAAGCTTTCAATATATCGTTTAATAATATGGCAATGAATTTTTTGTCACTATATATACACTATATCAGAATTGTTGGTTGGGGCAGGGGTTGCATTATTAATTGTATTAAATAAGCTTTGTATATTTTAATTTCTTTTTTTTTTTTTTTTTAAAATGTGACACACTTAGAGATTTAGGTTTCATACAGGTCTTCTGGAATGTTTTTAATCCAGTGTCTAATGATAGCAAAATGTTACTTGTTCTCACTTTGAGAGTTGGGTCACACCTCATTTTCTGATTTATTGAGAAGTAGTGGCATTACAAATATGTCAATATATTATTTTGCTGTTATTCAAACCTAGCCATAGACAGTGAATTCTCATCAATGTGTTCTAGCCATTAAAAAATAGCAGTATGCATAAAAAAACTCTGGATGGCTTTCTGTAGCTAACTGTCACATTACTTTATTGTGATAAAGGATGAAGAAGGCAATGAAAAGACTAGCCATGGAGGAGAAGACAGGGCACCAGTCGTTCAGACAGTGCATTACCTGTACATTCAGGTACAAACATGCTTGTATTTTCAGATCAAAGGACACTCTTCATTCTGACCTGCAGACATTAGTTGCTGGTTTTCGTGAGAAGAGTAACGACCTTTAAAAAATGCAAATCAGACTACATTTGATGTTGGTTTTGCGATAGACTGATTTTCTGAAAGCCTTGGCTGGTAGAAGGCACTGTGCAGCGCCCGTGGCTTATTATGCCTTCCGAGGCTCCATAGTTGTGCCTGGAGAGTGCAAAGTTTTGTAGTGCTGTAGTGTGTAATGGGATCACTGTTGTTGCTTGTGGACAAGTAAAAGTTGGCAGCTCCTGACCTAACCTTAGAACAACCCAGCCAACCAACCTTTTTGAGTCTGTGGCTTCCAAAGAATTGGTTTGCCTTGTGCTTGTTGCTTGTTTACAATATCCACCCCGAACCCCTAAAACTGTATCTGGTGTTCTTGAGTTTGGTTATGGTGTTAATTCCCAGTGTGGAGTTTGTGTGCTATGTCAACTTCTAGAGGTGAAGCTGTATGTCATAGATGTGAAAACTTCCTCGTTCTCTTCAAAGGGACTATATTGTGTATGCACTGTCTTTTAACAGGAAACAGTAATCTGCAAAACCATTGTGTGGCCCTAACAGTAGGCACAAAATAAAATTCCTGCAGGTTTTCAACTTCAGGCTTTACTACTGGCAACGTCTCCTTTGTGTTAGGAGTTAGGCTGTTCCTGGGAGAAGTCAACTATCCTAGCTAACTGTGCTGTGGTGGTGTGCAGTTTTTTGTAATGTGGTTAACACTAGAGCTTGTCTGGAAGGAAGATACAATTAGACGGAATCAGATTTTAATAAGCTTGTTTGCATGTGTTTATATATATTCATAATACAAACAACTAAGAAGCCAAGTAAAATAAAGCCAGAGATTCTTTAAAGTTTGACTTAAACATGCATTGCTTGGCAGTTTTCACCTTGTTCTTAACATTTATGTTAGAGTATATACTATTTTACAAGCTCATACCATTGTCCCAGAAAATGGGATAGGACCCATAAGTGAATGCATGTTTTCTAGCTAAAAGACAGCTCTGGGGAAAATTCCAAACAGGTGAATGTTTTGATGATACTATTTGCTCCTGAACTGTGTGTTAGAGAACCAGGTATTAATATGCATACAGGTGCAAGTTTCTGATGGTCTCTCTTCTTGACAAAACTGCTCTTTCTTCCCTCTGTCCCCTACATATGCACAACTGAAGATGGAGTATTGTGAAAAGAGCACATTAAGGGATACTATTGACCAAGGGTTATATGAAGACACCAGTCGGCTTTGGAGGCTTTTCCGAGAAATTTTAGATGGGTTGGCTTACATCCATGAAAAGGTCAGTAAATATGACAGTTATGAGCTGTCCATAATCTCTGTCTTACACCTCTTTCTGTATGGGTTTCTTCATATTCTATTCATTTTGGGATGTTTATTAGCAAGGTTTCTTTCTTGCCCTTTCCCTTATTAATCTGTTCTGCAGCTTTAGAATATTTTGTCATAAACTTGAATTTTTTAATGAATCACTGCAGATTTTTTCGCTTTCTCACAGAAGTTTGACTGCCTTTAAAAACATTTTGTTACATGTCTCATAGCACTGCAAATTGTTTCTAGCTTCTGCGCTACAGACTGTAGTCTTCAGAATTAATCCTCAGTGACTTAATGCTATAGATTTCCCACTGTAATAAAAGTATGTAAAACGATTTTCCAGTCCATTTTAAAGAGAGTTATTTTGAATTGTGTCTATTGTTTAATTTTCTGTGGGTCTTATTTTTTGATCTTCTTCTGTAACAGGGAATGATCCACAGAGACTTGAAACCTGTGAACATTTTTTTAGATTCAGATGATCATGTCAAAATTGGTGATTTTGGTTTAGCTACAGATCATCCAGCAAATGCAGTAAGTACAGCTGAAAATGAATGAAAAAACTTATATTTGGTGTTGTAATGACATGAAAGATGAAAATAAAACATAAAAACATAGTGCTCATTGGATTTTATATTATGAATGCCATGAACTTTTCATTTCTAAGGTTCTAGAATTAAAGCACGTACTGCCAACCAAAGCAGCAAGAAAAGCCAACAGAAGCGTTTTAAGTGCCATTTACATTATGTCTGTTTTCCTGATTTCAGGTGGTCTCCAAACAAGAAGAAAATCACTCAGGTAGTTCTGCTAGGTCTGACCCATCAGGTTAGTTTACATAGTACCATGTTGTAAATTATTTACAGCAAGAACTTGTATTCTGCAGTCTTGTATACTGTTAGACCTTCCGTTCATCATTTGAAAACAAAACCTTTTTTGTTGGGGGGGAGGCGGGGGAGGGGAGAATAGATAGTAAATATGTTACCTATAATCTGGCAGTTTTGACTGTTATCTAAAAATAATTTTGCTTCCACTGCTAGCCTTCTGCCATAGATCAGTGCTTTTCTCATGGTAAGGTATATAGCGATCCTGTATATCTGTTCCGTCTGCACTTCTGTTCTCTTGGCAGTACAGGACAAGTTCAAAACTTCAGGGTTTTTTGTTTGGTTGGGTTTTTTTTTTTTGACACCTTCTGTAACGCGCTGAATTTTGTGTTTTGAGAAAATTTTAGTACATTGTGTGTCTCAAGATGAATTTAATGGAATTGAAATGTATCATTTGTGTGCTGACCTACTACAATTCTGTAAAGCAGTAGATAGGTTTAGATACTATAGATAGGCACAGATATCTGACGTGCAGGTAAGAACTGTCTGTTTTGCAAACTGATCTGAAGTGGGTCTCTCTCAATAAGGACAGCATTCCAACCTAGAAGAAATGAGGAAGGAAGATGAGTGAGTGTTTTTTCTTGACTTCAATGCTGCATTTCTCTCTCATTTTCTTGAAACTAGTACTCTGATCTTTTGCCACATAGGTAACTTGACAGGGATGGTTGGCACCGCACTGTATGTTAGCCCAGAGGTCCAAGGAAGCACTAAGTCTACATACAATCAGGTATGATTATAAATAGAGTTAATAAAAAGGTGTCATGGAATCTAAGGTACCAGGTACAATTCAGGTCATTTGTGCCTAACAGAGGTGAATTTCGTGGAACAGGGTGTGGTGGGACTGCTGCAGTAAGCAAGAGAGTGAGAACTATTCCTCTCAGAGGAGACTAAGGGTAGAAGGATGTGGGCAAGTCAGTTTTTCTGCCTGTGCTGTGGCCATGACTAGGTGCAAGCAACTTCAAGTTGAAAGCAGGCAGTCACAGAGGACCTTTATAAATAAGTAGCATAGAAATGGTATTTGTAGGTGATAAATGTCTGTGATTATGGAATGCGTCTCCATTTTACAAAACATCATGAAAGCATTTTAGTGACGGTATATCTTGCTCTCCTGCATTCCTGGACTGTGATTTTTGGGAGGTGGGGGTGCATTTTTTCCTCAGAGGATCCTGTTTATATGCAGGAGGAGCTGAATTTCAAAGCAAGGATGATTTCAAAGTGGAGGGGAGTCCTCTGCGTCATGGCAGTGCTGTGATGATAGAAGGCATTGAAGTCTACCAAATTTTAATGCATTGTGTCATTTAACAAAAAAATTTTAAAAAACCCAAAATCTTAAAAAAACCCACTCCTCTCTCCAGCTGTAGTATACTGTGAGATTTAACCAAAATATTATTTGTTGTCTGCTTTCATCTTCTGCAGAGAATTCACAGGTACTACATGTAAGCTTCCATTTTTTTTCTTCCTTAGAAAGTGGACCTGTTCAGTCTGGGTATAATATTCTTTGAAATGTCTTACCATCCCATGAGTACTGCATCGGAAAGGATCTTTGTTCTTGGTCAACTAAGACTAGTAAGTGTACAGATATAAAAGATACTAATTCTGTGCATCAAATAGTTTGTGAAGAGAAGTAAAAGGATGCAAAACGTAGCAAAAATGCTTCCACAGGGAGTGCTTAAAAAAGTTTATAAGATATATAACGAACAGTGAAGAATAAAATTGGAGCTGCTACTGACATCATGCACTGTGAATTTTCTAATGGTATTATCATTAGTCAGTGTTCTGTCTGTGAAATGAATTTTTATACTGTAAAACATTAGAGGTATAAACTTCAGATAAAGACATCAGGGCTTTGGTACATCTAGGTTTATACCTGGTTGGTCTCTCTCAGGAACGAGTTGGTATTTGTAGGTGATAAATGCCTGTGATTATGGAACGCGTCTCCATTTTACAAAACATCATGAAAGCATTTTAGTGATACCCTTTTTTCCTGTTAGCTCTTCAAACTAAATTTGCTGTGTGTGGTTTTTGTTGTTTGGGGTTTTTTTTTCCATGGACAATAAAAACGCTTAGCTTCTCTGCTTAAATATGTAGAACTTAAAAAGAAGACTAGCCTGAGCAAGGTGGACTGCCTGTTATAATTCAAATGTGATTTTTGTTTTTATAGCCCACTATTGTATTTCCTAAAGACTTTGATGAAGTCAAGCATGCAAAGCAGGTAATTTTGAAGACATTTTAACTATTAGGTATTCCCTGTCAATAAACGTTAATTATTGTTTTTCACACTTAATTTTAAATTGATAATCTCTGCCAAGTTCTTATTACATGACATTAGAACAAAGTAAGGAAAAAAAAAATCTCCAGAGACTATACTACATTGACAAGGAGATGTACTTACCCCCACAATTCCCTGAGCACAGTCATAAAGAAAAGCAAAGTTCACTGGCATACGTTTTAAGCTCTGAGGGACAATCTTGATTTCTTTAGGCTCAGCAAATGGCAGCTATATTGTTTAACCCTTAACTTAAACTTTCAAACAGAAAGAGGTGTGCAAGCAAAACTGGCCGCTCTGAATTTGAGAAGAACTGCTAAGAGCTGTTCTGAATGCCTCCATGGCAGAGAAATGAAGTGATAAGGAGCAGTGTAATCTTTTCTGGACCATCTAGACAATTTTTTTCCTTGGGCTGGTGGACTCTTTCGTTGACCATTAGCATTAGCTTTTTGTCTGTTATGCCTGTGGAACAGCGGTCTGCCTGTTACTAGTACCATAAAAATGTTTCCATCTTGTACAGTTTACTGAAATATGCCAGGAAGATTCCCCATTCTTTAATATCTGTAACACTCAGGTCTTTGTTATGCGTATGGTTCTGTTTCTCTTAGCTTTGTTAATGAAGAGATGCCAGAGCTAGCTAGTATAACATAGAACAACAAAGGATACTACATATTTTGTGATCCCCAGAGATATATGATTTTTGTGTTTTGCTAGATTTTATTCAGATAACACCATAAAAGTTATTTAGAATTTAATAAGCAAACAGTATTCACCCCAGATTCAGATCCTGCTTTTTTTTTCGTCCCCTGTAGAGTCTCATCATTTTTTTATTAATGTGATGTGACTAAGAAGTTTGTTGTAAATATTGCTAATACATAAAATTTGTCTAAACTGTAAAATCTTGATTTAATGTGTAGAGATTAGTTATTACATGGCTCCTGAACCATGATCCTGCAGCACGACCAACAGCTGTGGAGCTATTGAAAAGCGAACATCTTCCACCACCACAAATGGAAGAGTCTGAACTCCATGAAGTACTCCACCATACCTTAGCAAACGTGGATGGAAAGGCGTACCGGACTATGATGAGTCAGATATTTTCACAGCGTGTATCTCCAGCTATAGACTATACCTATGACAGTGATATGCTGAAGGTTTGTAGGTGTTCAGGGGATGCATGGGTTTTTTTTCGTGTGTTGGATTTTAAAAAAAATGTTTCTATGGGTAAACTCAAAACATGTTTGAGAGAATTGCATTATCTCTTGAGATTAGCTTTCACTTAGTTCCTATTTAAAGCTATAAATCTGTACTATGTAGGCTTGAATAACTGCTTCCCATTTGAACTTTACATTCATTCTTCAGTGATAAAATGAGCAGTGTTTCGCTGTAGCAGCTAAAGCTTAAAGTTTCTGTCCAGATGATTCCTTTCTTTACTCTGAATTTCTGTCGAATTAACGATACTTGCATCCAACTGCCAACAGCATGTGTTGCCTCTGAAGGTTTTGTTCCCTTTCTAATTGTGGCAATCAAAGTAATCCTTCTTGGTTTCTCAACTCTTAAATCTGTCTAAAGAAATACAAGATAACACAGTGCAGTAATGCTTTGTATAGCTGTAGTTATTTTATAGTATGTAAGCATTACAGTTGATTATAGTGGGACGAGATACCAGAATGCTTATTGCTTATATTACGTGGAGTGTTCATGGCATATGAATTATATATGTACTTTTTATTTGTAATGGTTTCAGGGTAGTTTTTCTGTTTGGTCAGCCAAGATACAGCAGCATGTATGTGAGATTGTCAGCCGGATATTTAAAAGACACGGTGGGTGTGTTTACAAAAGTCATTAATTTCGTTTTTCGTGACTGAATGGACTTAAGAGAATGGACTGGTTTTACTGCTATCACATTAGTCAGAAAGTATGTTCAGTAGTTGCATATCATTTGAAGTTTTACATTGTTTTTTTGCTCTTATTTTGGTGTTCCAGTAATAGCTGTTAACTTCAAATCGGAATGATTTACATTTTCTATAGAAAGAATAGTGAAAATTCTTATCTTTGAATGTATTTGGTGGTTCTGATAAGCCTATATGAGCTTTTAGAGGTAGGGAGCATTATATAAAATCTAGATCTGAATATAAGGATAGCTCTGTAGTGAAAGACCCCGCATCCACGTAGCAGAGTAAGCTCTCTCTGAACAGAGGCAAAATGGGAATGGCCTCAGGAGCGTGGAAACAGAGCAAGTGTCTAGTGGTGTTCCAGTGATCACAGAATCACAGAATCACAGAATAGTAGGGGCTGGAAGGGACCTCTGTGGGTCATCTAGTCCAACGCCCCTGCCGAAGCAGGGTCACCTGCAGTAGGCTGCACAGGATCTTGTCCAGGCGGGTCTTGAATATCTCCAGAGAAGGAGACTCCACAACCTCCCTGGGCAGCCTGTTCCAGTGCTCTGTCACCCTCAGAGGGAAGAAGTTCCTCCTCATGTTCAGACGGAATGTTTATTTCACAGAATCTGACACTATAAATATTATTCAAGTCTTAATAAAAAGGATAGCAAATGTTTGTCAAAGCACTGACCTTCCATCTTTGCCTTTGAAAATACAGCCTTAAATATTTTAAAGTCTTTTTAATTTTATTTTTTAATTTGAATGTACACACCTAGCGCTATGAAGTCTCCTTCTTCAGCTTGGCATAGTATTTTGGAGGTGAAAGTCTGAGCTTTGAAATTTTCACTGAATTTTCCAAATAGTATTAAATAGCATTCTGCTGTTCACAGAATCACAGAATCACAGAATGGTAGGGGTTGGAAGGGACCTCTGTGAGTCACCCAGTCCAACCCCCTGCCGAAGCAGGGTCACCT